AGCCAAACTCAACCAACACAAGCGTTCAATTAGTCACCAGCAGGCTTTTACAGTGTTATAGGTTCATAGTTTATTGACTGTTTACACATTTGCTTCTCTTCTCTCCCTTACTATACACGCTTATAGTCGAAGGCATATGTTTGCCGGGGTTGACTTTTTTGGATATCTGCATGGTACTATTGCTGAATAATAATAAAAGGAAGTTACAGCGTGACAGTAAAACTGAAAACAGCCAATGAACAGTAATCATGGGAAGAGATTTGAGGGTGTTTGGACACGTCAACTTCAGGGTTAATTATAATATACTTCCGCAAAGGACATGGGGGAGAAAAGAGAAAAGGAGGGAAATCTACCAGTATGAATTCGAAAATAGGCGTCCCAAGAAATGTAATTTGAGAGACAAGATTCTTTAAGAAACATTCGCTTGAAACTGGGCACAGGTTTGCATGGGACCAAACTAACATAGTAGGTTCCTGCCCATATAAGAAAGGCCGCGAATTTTCAGGAGCCATTTACTCTAATGAATCATGCATCAATAGGCATATTGATTTGAATTCAATGTACATAAATCTCAAAAAGGACTTGAAAAAGCTCCAACTACCAGAACCTACTATTGACCATGGAGGACGAATCACTGAAATTCTTCGGCATGTTTAAAAATTCACAACGTTCTTTGCACGATTCCCTCAAGTCCGACGACGATCTGGTGTGCCAGCGTCGAAATTTTACAATAACGTTTGTTAATGTTTCCCAAAAAATCTTTTCTCTCAAATCTATCAGTATATTATGATCATGTTTCATTGCTCTAACACAACCCGACAGGATGCGAGAACTAACATGTGGGCTTGCATTTGATTATGACAGTTTTATGGCTTGAATCAACGTTTTCTGATTACGCTCTTGAAAACAAATCTTCCACCGCATCCGAGGTCCCTTATCTTTCAACTTCCCACAAAGTGTTAAAAATCTTCATCGGATAAATATTCATTGCTTGATGCTGGGGTGTATAAAAGTACATTGTACTTTGAGGTTGAATATGTTCTTCGGGAAATATAATTTTCTTTCGTGAATTATCGAGTATGGAACCCCAGCTTATCATCAGACG